TCTTCGAATGTTTCATCGAATTCATCTAGATCGTATTCGTGTTCTTCCGTTGTCTTGGAGACACACTGACCACCCTCGAGCATGTTTGCGGTGTGCCCCGCGAACAAAAAGTTTCTGCCTCCATACCAATTGCACYTWTTGAACTCGCAGTAGTGCCGCAAGTGGACCGTGAAGCAGTTTGYGTCCTTGAAGGTGAAAAGGACGCTCCGCGCCATTTGCTCGTCGGTGAGCTCGGCCGGGTCCCTGGGGTTGTCATCTCCTTCCCCGTGTTTAGACGACTTGAACTGGATCTTCCCGGTGCAAGGCTCGGTTTCGGTAGGTGCCTCGCCGGTCTCGTCGCACACGATCTTCACCTCCGAGTCTTCCATGGTGGGATAGACGACATAGTTCTCGATCTGGGAGGAATCAATGATGAGCATTTCCTTGGTAACCTTCYTSTTCTTGCCCTGGTCGAGGTCGTAGAAGGAGAAGTGGAAGGAGTCCAAGGTGGTGAGTTCCTGGGTGACACTGTCGTGGAAACAAAAGTCGAACAYCCCTTCTCCGTCGTACGTATTGCTATTCCTCTTGATCGTCAGGTTGATGTTGCCGAACTTTCCATCCAATCCGTTGGCAYCGGGAGCCTGGGTGTGGTAATCCGTACCCTCGTGGACGCTGACCACCAGATCGACCGAGTTCCCGCGGACAGTGCCAACATCCTTGTAGTGGATKACACCCCCTTCGTGCAGTTTGTTCTCTGCGAGATCCGCGTTGAAGAAATCGAGTTCGGTACCGATATCCGTGGCGCTACTGCAGAAGTCTTCGKCGGATGCCATGGCAACCTTCGCGGAGGCATGGAACATCCAAAGGGCGAAGAGCGCAGTGTATTTCGTAACAAGGRCCATTCTGTAGTGTTCTTGGTGGGTGGCTTGTTAGTCTTCTTGTTGTGGGARAGTACAGAAACGCAAAGGAATGCAAATGCGATCGTACTTGTAGTGTTGATCGATTAGTTTAGTTTGGTTGGTATGCTCGACCACCTCGTGTTTCGATGGTTGTGAGCTTGGATTTGTGAGGGGAGGAGGATGAGATTAGGAGAACAAAGTGTTCCAGCAGTACTCGTACTCGTACCGTGCAGTGCTGTTCTGTGCCGTATTTTGTGCTCTGTTTTTTGGTTTCGAAATTTTGGATAGATTTTTCACGATTACGTTGGAGTTCGTGAGACTGGGAGAGATACGTAACGTAACGTTGCGTTGCGTTTCGTTTCGTTTCAAACCGTTGTTGGGGATCGTGGCGTGAAACAAAATGAATCTGCCATAAATCTTCGGTCCGATCTACTGTACGTACAGTAAGCGAACCGAACCCGAGAAATGTCATCGCAGTGCACCGAACCCAAGAATGTGATCAAACTATAATAGCCCAAAAACAAAAATCTGTTCACACAACGGTTCGGAACCGAAGATTAACGCGTGTTTTAAATAAAACTGAAAACGAATTTCAGTTCAGTAGTACGTGGATGTCGTTCCAATCCCAGTGCACATTTAAGACCAACAAACCGCCGAATATATACAAATGGCTTTAGTCTTTCGTTGAACCTCAGTGGGAATTCCTTGGTGCATCGATGACGTTCGATTGTTTTTGACGTGAAGTAGTCCACATTCGATAGTGTTCTCAGAAGTTGAACGGAAAACAAGGGAAAAAAAGAACACGAGACCGCCGAAAACCTTTTAYTGGGTCTCTTCTCTTCAGAAACGGTAACGAAGAGCCACTATGGAAATTGAAGCTGATCCTGCGGCTTTKGTCACTTTCCGAATCGTGGCTTTTGAAACAGGCCCTATGACTAATATCAATAGTTGTCGTGATATAACACAAAAGGATAGGCTTGACATCCAATTAAGGCAGTCATCCTTCCATATTTGTTTCGCGACATGAATTGTTTTACGACCAACCACCAGATGGAAACAAAACCCCCTGAATTCGGAACATGGWCTCATGCTGAGAAGCATGATTCAGTCAAACTTTGACATGAGGTTCAGTTGACTGCGGCACGAATATTTACWTATATCATGATTTATGGTACCGTCAACACAGCTCTGATTTTTATATGTCATGAGTTACGGTACCGGCAACATCGCTCCCGATTCTTTCTTTGCGTTTTCCAAAGGCCCAAGAGGTGACAACGAAAAGAGCGAGTTTGCGAACGAACCAAAGCCCCGTTCCGTCGTACCTGTCGACCATCGATTTCACCATTGCACGGACTGGACCGTGCCGCGCCATGCCCATCCAGTCATTTCGCGAACTGGCACGATGCAGCGGAGCGAAACGGTGTGATGGGTTGCGTTGCGTTGCGTTGCGTTGCGTTGTGCTGTGTTGTGTTGCGTTGTGCTATGTTTGACATTTTGCCATTTGCGCCACCGTCTAAACAGACCGCACGCAACGAATGGCATCGCGGTAGCAAGCGGATGGGAGGGCGCGACACGGTACGGTACGTTCGTTGCGGCGGGAGTTTCTAGCTCGTTGTTGYTGCTGCTGTTCACAGTGGAAGTTGTTCACGGTGTTTGGCGGATTGCGGGGACACTGYCTTGCTCGTTGTTGTTCGTAGCTACGGTAGGTTTGGCCCTTATTGTTCCAACAAGCGAGAGAAATTGGATTGCATTCGAGGAGTTGTTTCTTTTCTGGGGCAACGAGTGCAGCTTCGTCCAATAACCCCAATTTGCCTTGAACGACCTGCTACTGGTGCAAAAAGAAGTGTTGAGTTCTTTCRCCACTCTGCACTTCTTACTCTTACTAGTAGTACTAGTTGCAATACCCTTTCTCAGAGGCCAACCTTGTTCTTGTTCCGACAATCATCACCATGTGCTATCATGCTTTTGTTCTGCTCGGATATTATGGACTTCCACCACCAGCAGTAGCAGTAGCAGTAGCCCTCATGCTATTCCCCAGTAGTACTTGTTCTATACTAGTATCAACTTTGAAAAGTTCTTCGCTCTTCCCCCTTGCAAATGCCTTTTGTAGTACTTGCAGCAGCACTACTAGAACTATTAGCCAATCCTGTCCTGACTAGTACTAGTACTGTGATGATGCCATTTTGTTTTGTTCAAGAAATAATACCAATGCTGCAAGTAGTACCAGGACAAATCTAGCAAGTGATTTCCTTTCATCGGGGAATCAGAAGTATTATTACCTAGCTTGTTCTTGTACTATGTCATTCACCAACTTCACTTCTTCTTAGTATTGCTAGAAAGAAGGTCATGGGTGTGGTGTGCATCAAAGTTTCTAGTTGAAGCACTAATGGTAGTAGTAGTAGATAGGCATCTTGGAACTCCTACTACTAGTAGTAGAACTACTAGTAGAAAACCTAGGATGGAGTGAGTTTCATACAGCAGTGCATTACTGCTGAAGAGTGAAAAGTATGGTACGAACTCATGTTCTTTGTAGGTCAGCAGTAGTACAAGCTACTACCAGCTACTATGTGGAGGTTCTTCTTGCCCCCATGCGAAGCTTGAACAGGAAAGATCCTTCGACGCTTCGATTATGGAATGCCACGAGTAGTACCACGAAGAACTTTAGTAGTTAGGTTGTCTTCTTCATGGTAGCTGACGCACCGATGGTGCCATCCGGTACCGGTTGGCCGATGGTTAYKAGTAAAACCTGTACCGCATTTCCGGATTGCTTCCGGTGCACCACCACTCCGGATGGGAGATGCCACCCGTAAAAACAAAGAAACAGATGCCGACTTTATGGATTGGGCAGCTGGTGGGTGACGATCGACGATCGGCCACCGACGACAAAGACGACGACTATTGCATCATGTACGCGGTACGGTACAGGTGCATCGGGAAGGGAAACGAGGAAAACTAAATCCCTTGGGTCTCCAAAACCAAAACCGGCCAATCACTTTGTTGCAATTTCGATTTTTTTGGTATTGCCCGGTTGAATTGGTGTTTGGCATTTCGAAGCATGCGACATTTATGCCACCGACGCTGTGAAGAAGTACGGTTTTCCTACTAGCACCCGTAGATCGCATCAGAGGTCCGGAAGACATGTACGAGGAGTACGGTACCCAACAAACCACGTGTCTTCGTTTTGGTTCCGTTCGCTATCGCCCGGCTCGTGCGAAGCCAAAAATTTGTCGGGGGGCACCTTTTCTGTACGAACCCATACGAACGAACCAAGTGCAACCCGGGAAACAAACCACAATAGTATCTTACCGTACGGYAGTAGTATCATCTATGGACAGGAACCCCTACGCAGTACGGTACGGTACCTACGGAGTCGTACGTCCCGGACAACGAGGCATAAGTGACGAATTTCGGTGCCCGGGGCGCGCCAAAGGCACCGGTCGGGTCCCGTCAAATTTGGCCGTCCTCGGATGCCGGTCCCTAGGTAATTCTGGCCAACGGAGGGATCGGAAGGGGCCGGATCGAAATCCGCGCGTGCCGTGTGGCTTGGCATTGTCCCGCGAAAATTTGAACCTCACTCCASGGCACGGTCGCCGGAACGTCGTCGCGTGGTGTGTGGTGTGGTGTAGTGTAGTGTAGTGTGGTGTAGTGGGTGTTCGACAACACGCTTCGTACTCTCCTCCTTGGTTCTAGCAGAGCATCCGATGGATACCGTACTATTCATGTGGTTCACGGAACAAACACAATCCACCGTTTCGCGACTCTCTGGAGGTACAAGTACAGTGTGTGTTTGAACTCTTTGGCTTCCCCCACCACATAGAGTACCAGACAAGTTCCATTCATGAATCGAGCCGAGCCAAACTGAGCCCGATCGAATCGACACAGAATCTAGCCAAATACTAGCACTAGTAGCAACAGCAACAGCAACAGCAACAGCAACAGCATCCCATCCGCAGTCGCCCTTGGTTGCCGATCCCCACCGACTCCGAGACGCGAGACTACACAGCACAGCATCGCACAGCACAGCACAGCACCATGCCCCCCGCTACCGGATTCCAGTACACGCCCCCCTCCTACCTGCTCCGCGCCAGCGACACGACGAACCGCCCTTGGAACAAGACGGAGGAGGGCGAGGCCCGTTCGGACGACGCGGGCTTCCAGGGGGAAAACGAGTACGACCTGCCCCAGGAGCAGAGGCCGCAGACCCGCCGGGAGTCCAACCTGGACGCCCACTTCCAGCAGCGGGTCCGCAACAAGCAGAGCCGGTACCGGGACATTCTGAAGGGGGAGCGGGACGCCGAGGGAAGCCTTRGCTACGGCCAGGGCTACGGCAACAGCTATTCGAACTCGAACTCGAATCCGAACTCGAATTCGAATTCGAATCCGAGGTCCTCTGCCTCGGACGACGAGGACGATTCCGTCCTGCTGGCGGCSGCCAACGCGGACTCGTACGCGGACGTCCACTCGGCCCGGGTCCACGCCCTGCAGTCGAGGAGCAACGAGCTGGCCCGCAAAAACCGCAAGGAGCGCATCACGGGCGTTCCGGACTCCTCGGTCTCGGCCTCGCGCCGTTCCGAGGCCTCGGAGGCGGAGACCGCCCGGTCCCTGAGGGCCCAGCGCCTGCGGTCCTCCCTCCTCAAGCCCACCGCGGAGGAATACGACGTCCAGACCAAGCTGGAGATGCGGAGGTTCGCCCGGAAGGAAGAAGAGGCCGCCGCCCGCAAGCTGGAGCGGGAGGAAGCCMTGGCCCTCGAGAAGCAGCAGAAGCAGCGGGAACTCGAGGAGAAACAGAGAAAGCAGCACCAGAAGCACCAGCAGAAGCGGGCCATGGAGAAGGAGCGCAAGACCCTGGAGGCCGAGCGCGAGGCCCTGGCCATTGCCAAGGAGGAGGCCGCCCTGGCCCTCATGAGGGCCGCCGAGCTCAACGAGGAACGCTTGCGCCAGCGGGAACTGGACGCCCGCGAGGAGGACCGCAAGCCCCACCGYCGGGACCGACTCTCGGCGGGGAGCGCCGAGGGCCGCAAGCACCGCAAGATGAGGACCAAGAACTACTTTTCCGGGAGCAGCACCTCGGACGGGGAGACCTTTATGACGGAGTTCGATCCGCAGAACGACTTTGCCTTTCTCAACGACCTCTCGGGGATCGTCCGCGACACGGGCCTCCTCAAGACCTGCGGGGCCTGCTTTGGGGACACGGAGGACGTCCTGGAGACCCCCAGCATGAAGCCGGACGGSACTTCCRCCAAGGCCTCGTCCAAGATTTCCTCCGTCTTTGTCCCGGACCTGGTGGCMAGCTCGGACAACTCGGCCTCGGACGACGACCGCACCGGCGACTCGGTGCACAAGAGCCGGGTCTACGCCAGGTACCGGGCGTAGGCGAAGCCRASCCAAGCCAAGCCAAGAGTGCAGCACCACCGGTGTTGGGCGGAACCGGAGCCTCTCTCGTGTCGGGCGGTGCCAGCTGCCCTTTCCCCGGCTGCTCGATCGCTCGGCGCCGACCCCMCTATTCTTCATGATTCTTGTTCGTGTTGTTTGACTAAACCTGCGTATTGACCATACCTAGTTCCGTAGCGGTCGGAGTGGAACGGAACGAAAGGCAGTCCACCCCGCCAAGCCGTTCACTACCTTCCACTAACCCTACGGTACTTAACTCATAGTACAACTATATATATATATATATACATCTCTCTATAAACCCACCCGCCCAAACGATCCATCGAAACAAGTACCGTACCGTAGGAGACTTGGAGAGTACGAGTACATATAGCGTTGCAACAACGTAACGGCACGATCGACCATGGTGGTCGACTCGTTCTGCTTCGAAGCAAAAAAGGAACACAGAAATCGTTCCATCCACCGATGGAGTGAAACACGAACACGACTGATTACTGTGCTACTTTAGTACGGTAGAAACTACGGTTCGTAGGGTAYGAGTGTACTCTGTTGTTCTCTCGTTGTTCCTGTTACTAATTTGTCGATCTCTACGGTATCTACCGTTATACGGTAACTCCCGCGAGTCGAATCTGCCAGTGCGTTGAAGCAAAAACCTGTACCGTACGGTACGGTCGTTGCAAGTACGTTTGCGTACCTACGAACGTACCGAACGTGCTATTGCTTCCTTGCGAAGTGTTCCGTACCGTACCGTAGGTTCATGGTACTAGTCGTGTGTGCTACAGTGAACACTCGTACTTCAACTACGAGTACCGTATGGTACCACGTGCTGTACGATACCAATTCCTCTTGCTGTGTTGCCATCGAGATTTTCGCGAACCGTCGAGCCGGATGTGAACGCAAGCAAGCCAAGCACGGCAAATAATACAACGTACGGTGTGGTTCGTGCTTTATCGTGCAGTAATGCGTATCGTACCATGCGTATCGTATCGTATCGTATCGTACCGTTTAGCTAGCCCCTGTCGCGTCGACGAGTCAGTCGTCGTCCCGTCTGTCGACTCCAATCCGTCCCGTTTGTTCCAATCGTTTCCTACGTCCCAGGTACTGTAAGGTACTGTATTGGCAGCGCAAACTAACGTATCGGGTTCTTCCGTAATCACGGAAAAAAATACTTTATCGCATACAGTACCTACCGCACGGTACAATACCGTACGGTGCGAGAACAAAACACCCGAAACAAATTTTGTCCACACAGCAACTCGTTTCACAAACAAGGGGSAACTCCAGCTTGCAGCCGGCGCAGTTCCCGAAACCCATCGTCACCGAACAGAAAAACAAACCCCGCACCCGCACCCGAATCGATCGTTCTTCCGGTTTCCACCATCGAAGAGAGATGACCCCGGGTCTGAGAGACCCCCAGGGCGGTGACACCGCCGAGATTGCAACGTCGACGGGTGGTGTCATCAAACTKCCGTCGCCTTCCGTTGCGATGGTGGGTCCCGGAATCGGCAGCAACACCGGCGGCRGCAGAAGCAGACAGACCTCGCCGGTCCCCACCGAGGGCCTCGGAAGGGAGGATGAGGGAAGTCCCACCGAAACCAGCAGCGAAAGCRCCGATTCGAACCCTCCCGGCCGGGGTGCCACGACCACAACCACGCCCCCGGAAGACTCTCCCCCGGACGGGGTGTCCGGGCAAGACGCCGCGGCCCGCGAGGCACTCGCCGCCATGCTCGGCCGCTGCAGGCTCCACCGGACCGCCAGCCACAGCAGCAACAACAACAACAACAAAAACACCCACAACAACGACCACCACCACCACACCTACCGCGAGAAATTCCCCGTCGCCTGCCTCCCCCTCCTGCACGACCTCCCGGGCAACCGGCACTGCCTGGAYTGCCACGCCCGGGACCCGGAGTGGGCGGCGATCTGCTACGGGGCCCTGGTGTGCATCAAGTGCTCGGGGAGGCACCGGAGCCTGGGGGTGGCCGTCTCGCGGGTCCGCAGCGTCCCCATGGACCACTGGACCCACTCGGAGGTGGTGGCGATGCTGGAGGGGGGGAACGCCCAGCTAAAGGGATTTTTCGAGCGCCACGCCCTGACGGAAGACTCCTTTGGGAAGCGGCAGCAACAGCAGCAACAACAGCAGGAACAACAGCAACCACATCGATCCAAGAAGCCCACCCCGCAGCGGCCCTCGGCGCTGAACGCGGACAACCTCACCACGCTGCGGTACAAGACCMGGGCGGCTCTCTTTTACAAGAGCCAGCTCGAGGCCCACGTCGTGCGCTTGCTCGAAGACCCCGAGGGAAAGCCCTACAAGGGGCGCTCCCGGAGGCCGGCCAGCAATTCGTCGTCGAGAAGGTCGTCCGGTCCCCGTTCGGTGTCGCAGCGCCGGTCCGGATCGGAATCCGAGTGAGCGAAAACGAACGCAACAGACCACACGCAACCA